CTACTTCCCTCTTCTTCCTCTCCTCTTCTCTTTCCTTCACCACTCTCCTCCCCTTTCTCCCCACTTCTCCTCTTCTCCTCCAACCTTCCTACCTCCTTCTCCCCCCTCCTTCACTCTTTTCTCTCTCCTCTCCTTTCTTCCCTCTCATCCTTCTTCAGATACAATTCAGGGGTAATGTCCGAGCAACTCCTCTCTCCAAATTTCCCTATCTGTATTATATACAATAAGATTAATTTTCTCTTACATTTATACTTCTATTTATCTAACCTTCTCGGTATATACTTCTATAAATATTTATTCAACCTCCAGTTATTCAATACTCTGTTGCCTGGGTCTCCCTCCTTATTTGCTCCTTCTTCTTCCATCTAAATTGATGTTAACTATCTTTTAACCGTATTCTCTTTTCAGCATCTGTAAAACATTTTGTACATATTTTCTTTATACACAGTCGCCATTGTCAATTTATAGTTTCTTTCCCGTAGTTGCTGCCATCTATCTAATTCAATTGTGTATCCAAAATTCCTTGTCCATTTTATCACTGCCTCTTTCACTTGTTCCTCCTCTAACTCCATATGTAGTAGATAACTGTATATTTTTTAAATCCACTTTTCTTCCGTTTCTGTGAGTATTTCATCTAACTCTGTTGTCCCCAAATTAACACCATCTATTTTAACATCTTTTTCATATCTAGATTGTATTTGCATTCTCATGTACCAATCCATCTTTATTCTCCCAAGGCACATATTGTCCTTGTTTGCCTCCTGACTCTGATGAGATTAGATAAGAATATAAAACAATCCAACAATTGAGCCAAAGTCCTTCAACTGCAATGTTTTTTTGGGCTAGTGACCAAATTGAAGGACAAGTTTGGGGTGGTTCTAATGCAGACAAAGGTAATATCTTTTATAAATATCGTTGCTAGCTTTCCCTGCCAAATGGGAATTAACTGCCTGGGGGAAAATAATTATCAAATGAATAAAAATAAAATAAAAATAAAGAAGCAGTCCATACAACTAACTCTTCTACAAGAAGAAAATGCAATATTTTGAGATTTTATCTTAGGAAAACTTCACCAGGGGGTGACAGATAGGTCTAAAGCTATCAAAATAATGGGGAGAAAGTGGGGAGATGTTTTTGTGCCTTTTAACTGCAGATGCAGGGTTTTATATTTCTTATTGATGTTCATCTTGCTCCACTATTCTATCCTATACAGATCTTTTTCAGTCATCTTTCTTCTAAACTATGATCAAATGATATGATCAAATGTGTGTATGAGTTTTCGATGTGGTCATTATGAATCCTTTGACTCAATTGTTTTATCATGTTATTAATTATTTTATTAATAGGATATCATGTAAAATATTGTCAAATGCTTTGGTGAGGTCAAGATGCACCACGTCCATTGCATTTCATAGGTCTATAAAAATAGTAACTGTTAAAAAAAGGAAATCAAGCTAGTCTGACAAGACTAATTTGTGACTTGTTAGTTCTTGTTAGTTGCTGCCTTCCCATCCAATATATCTTGCTCTAGAAACTTGTGCAATACAGAAAAACTAGTTAACAGGTTTGTAATTTCTGCTGTTGTTAAAAAGACTCTGCATTTGCTGTCTTCCACTCGTCATGAGTTTGCCAGAAGTTCTCAAACACAATTGTTAGCAATTCTGTGTTTATCTCTGCTGAGACTTTATATCATTAGTTTGATTTCACTCTTGTCCATCTCATGGTAGAAAGAAATAGTGTTTTTGGAATAGTCTAATGTACTGCTGACTGGGAAATTATTACTGAGCTTAGAGTTCATATTGCAGGAGATGGGAAGAAGGGAGAGTTCCTGAATGGGAAAATAGCCTTTCCAACTGCTTCAGATATCCAAGGTTGCAAATCTTTGAGCTGTACTTATAATCAAACAAGATGAAAATCGGCTCAGCTACTCAGGTGCAAATATTAGAGAGGTGCCGAGAGTCCATATTTTGAACCAACTCATTCCTAGGCCATGATTTCTCATCTTTATGCTGTCCAGATGTTTTGGATCATAATGCCTATCATCTCTAAGAAGCACAGAATTTTAATCACCTATCTAAAGGAATTAAAAGGAATAATTAAGTAAGAAAACAAAGTAATATCTAATCTTTGACCCATAACACAGGAAGATAGCAAGAACACACTTTAAGCTACCTCCCCTATGGAATTTTATAATTATATAATCTTGTCTTTGCAGAAGTGTTCAGGTCAATGAACAGAGTGTGTAACTGACAAAAAGTACAATCTTTTCCCAAGGCACATATTGTCCTTATTTGCCTCCTCACTCCGATGAGATTAGATAAGAATATAAAACAATCCAACAATTGAGCCAAAGTCCTTCAACTGCAATATTTTTTTGGGCTAGTGACCAAATTTCAGGACAGAAGGACAAGTTTGGGGTGGTTCTAATGCAGACAAAGGTAATATCTTTTATAAATATCGTTGCTAGCTTTCCCTGCCAAATGGGAATTAACTGCCTGGGGGGAAATAATTATGAAATGAATAAAAATAAAATAAAAATAAAGAAGCAGTCCATACAACTAACTCTTCTACAAGAAGAGAATGCAATATTTTGAGATTTTATCTTAGGAAAACTTCACCAGGGGGTGACAGATAGGTCTAAAGCTGTCAAAATAATGGGGAGAAAGTGGGGAGATGTTTTTGTGCCTTTTAAAACAATGGAAGCTGGGCTCATGAAATGAAAGTGAAATATGGAAACACAGAAAAGCAAAAAAAAAAAAAATCTTTCTTCATATAACTTCTACCTAACAGGGAATATGACATCAAGAGAGTTAAAGGTTATTATGTTTAAAAATATGTGGGAACACAAATGAAACATTTGTTTTTCAATCATTAAAGCAGCCATATGTGAATTTACAACCATTACATAGACACACACATCAAAGCAGAAAAAGCAGGAAGTAGCTTCTGATGTAGCTGCCTGATCTTTATAAGAGATGTGACTGTTTTAATGATCTAAACATTTTTGTTGGCTTCATACTTCTGCACAGGGTTGTCTTTGGGGACAGGGGCCAAATAAGTCCAGATGTGAGCACGACAGCAATCAAACCCTGTCCTTTTTTTGGATCCTCCCTTGCAGATTTCCCTGCTCGCACACAGAGTAAAGAAACTTTTCCACAGTCCTCTTGTTGATAACTTTTCTTTCATTATTGTTGGTATATTCACATGTCTTTCAATTTAATACTAATTTGAAGGGAACATGATTGAAAGGAAGAAGCTATTCTGTAAGGCAGAGGTGCCCAACCCCTGCTCTGTGGACTGGTACTGTTCTGTGGCATGGCAGAAACTGGGCCACGCAAACAAGCAAAGCCCCATCCATGGGATGCAGGCAGCACACAAAATCATGCCCCCTCCGGTTGCTGGAAAAACCCTCTCTGTACGGAACTGGTCCCTGGTACCCAAAAGGTTGGGGGCCACTATGAACTGGTATATAAGTCTAAGTGCTATTGCTATTACATGTGGGCTTTCAGTCATATCTGGCTGAGTATGCATTTGCCAACCTTTGGTCTGGTCTGGTACAGATTTTAGTTTGTTGTACTAATCTTCTTGATGGGTTTGCTTGTCCGCAGTGATTTTTTTCCAAACTTATAAAAACACAAGGCTTCATTGAACTATCATGGCTGGAAGGAAGCTTTTTATCTTTACCATTGAAATAAATGTTACTGTGTAAGAATCAGGATAAATGTATTGAATCACTGATGACATTATCAATGAATAAAGCTTTAATAGTAATAATAATATAAGTTACAGTATAATGGGAGCAGTAACAAATGAAGGTACCTTTCACAAATGGTTAATTGCTTTAACTGTTTTTAATATTATTTATATAGATTCATTTATGTTGTTTAAGTTGTTTCAACTTGTTGCTTTATTATTTTTGTTTTAGCTTGTGAACCACCCAGTTATATATGTAAAATGGGTTGCTATATACATTGAATGATATAAAATAGAACAAATACAGACGATACAGAGGGTAAAGGAACCATGGTGGCACAGTAGTTAGAATGCAGTATTGCAGGCTAATTCAGCTCACTGCCAGGAGTTCGATTCTGACCATTTCAAGATTGACTCAGCCTTTCATCCTTCCAAAGTCAGTAAAATAAGGACCCAGATTGTTGGGGGGCAATATGCTGACTCTGTAAACCACTTAGAGAGTTCTGTAAAGCACTATAAAGTATGCACGTAAGTCTAAGTGCTATTGCTATTGCTAAATCAGGTGATAAATATTGCTGGATTAAAAGGGAAAGGAGAAGACCTTTTCCCAGTGGATTCCTTTTTAAATTGAGAGATTTGGCATCAAATTGGGCCAATCGATAGAAAAATCTAAGTGCTCATTCCCTAGGAAGAGTAGGATATGTCAGAGGGTTCAGATCAGTACCATTATACCATCAGTACCATTGTAATTATTTTTTACTGGGAAGTCTTCCAAAGAAAGAATCTGCCAGTGAGGTTTTAAATAATCTCTTCTCCTATCTTGTAACTTAAAATAACCTGAAAGCAGAATCAACAGAACTGGCAGAAGCCTGAAGCTACACAAAGAACAAACCAGAGGGTAGGAAGGATGGATTGAGTGCTGTCTGGAAGGAAATAAATTAATAATCAAGAGGTATGTTGAGAGTCAGTACAGTGAGGTCAGTAAATATTGAGCTGCACAAGGGAGATTGAGATTCAGTCTCCACTTACCAAGAGAGCTCACTAGATATATCCGCATCAATGATTCTTTCTCTTCCTTTCCTTATGGAAACCAATGTGAGTTTGCAGGCAGAAGATGGAATTTAAATACAATATATGCATTAATGAATAAATTAAAGGGATGTTCAAATCCTTTCAAAAATAACTTTCTCAAAAAGATATTTAGCTGTAAAATCCAGAGGCTTTTTGGTAGCAGAAAGGAGCAAAAACCTCTTTCATGGCCATCTGTCAGTTATTTTGCAACCTGGACGTGGTTGCTCCAGAAACATTTTAAGGAGAAAGAGTCAAACATCACGTCTTCAAACTTTTTAAAGAAAATGGTACATGCACAAAACAAAACTGTAGCAAAACATATTAGTAAACTCATCAGTTATCTACGTGTCTGTGGATCTAGTGATAATTTCTCCAGGTGGCTGTGCCCTGGGATGTAGAGCTGGTTTAGGTTTCTTACAACATATTTTTTCAGTCTTGGAGCAGTTCCCAATCTGTATTTCATTTTCTTTGCAGGTGTCAGTTTCACAGGTTCCACCTCGGAAAAGGCAGCCCAATGTGACAAAATCTCCTTTGCCTGCATGAAGAGCAACACAAATATTATTCGTGTCAGATAACTTTCCAGCAGCCATCAATGTTCTCCAGAGTGTCCTTGGAGTGATGCCTCCTCAAATTTAATTTAATCAGAATAGAGCTGGAAAGGACCTTGGTCTGTTGTGATTCCAATTCTTAATATTTCCAGAGCTCTCAATTCATGAATGGTAATTCTTAAAGTTTTAGTTTTAGTATATTTGGAAGAGGCTGGATTGGAAATGTTACTTCATAATCCCAGGTTTCTTGGGAAAACAATGGTTGAGCTGTGTTGCATATGAGATGCTTCCTTGTCCTCCTTAAACCTTATTATTACCTTAAAGGTAGTAGACTGAAATGTTAGGAGTTTCTTAAAAAGAATAGTGCACAATTGGGATTTTTCTTACCTGAACTGGCAAGGAAGGACAAGACGATACTGGCAAAGATTACGGAAATCATCTTCATGGCTGTCAGTCTCTCGGCCTGATTAGAGATTTGTAATCTAAAAGTTGAAAACAAAATATGCTTTTACAACAGGAATTTGGATACTCAAGCCAAAATGTTACTGTTCATTTCTAGGGTTGCTAAGCAATCTTATTTCATTAGTGCTGATTACTACAAAATGTCAGGTAGGCCTTTGAAAAAATTGATTTGGACCAGTAAAGCCTGTTCAGAAATACATATGTGTATGTATTACCTACAAAAGGCAATTAGAATGTATAATGCAAATTATGGAGTGATTTGGCAATGAAAACAAAATAGATAAAGCCAGTGGAAAGAGGACAGCTAAGAAGCTGCTTTAATTGGGGAATAACATATACTTTAAAGAGTATATTTATTTAGTGCAAACAGCTTGATATATAGCTTTTGCAAATTATGTCAATTCATGCATAAATACCATTGCTAATTGCCACATATTCTAATTGCCACATATTTATTCTGTTTAGTGTATTTCTGAACTAATAAAATCCCTATGAGGACCAATATATCTACTTTAGGCAATTGAACAATATTTTTAAATGCTTTATTTAAAAAAATACTACTAAGGTAGGAAACTAGTATCTTTCAGTTTTAATTGTAATATATTATTCAGCTAAACCAAAAAAAACAACATACTATGCATCAGTAAACTATACTGACTAAAAAAAATAACAATAGAAAATTAGAGAAGTGTGGAAATGCATGAATTTACGCTGTTTCATGTCACTTTAACTGAAATTTGAGGCCAAGCATCTTATTTCAGAATTTTATGGCAGGGGCAGGCAAGAGATGTTTGAGTTCTAAGCATTAAAGAAAAATGGACAAGAGTTAAAAGGCATACTTTGGAGGAAACAAGGAAAGCAAATCCTCTCCAGGGCTAGGTGGTATTGGAGCCTGTAGGAAGGATTCAACATGTCACCCAGGCCTATTGGTTCAGTTCTAAATTCTATTATGTCATAATACATAAGTCAAGAAAGACTCCAGGAAAAAGACCTAAGCCAGTGTTTTATAAACTTTGCAACTTTAAGGTATGTGGATTTCAGCTCACAGAATTACCCAGCCAGCCATGCTAACTGGGTAATTAGGAGTGCACACATCTTAAAGTTGCCATAGGCTGGTCTAAATTTAATTTTATTACTTAAAGTAAATGCTAGAAATTAGTTACAGATGGTGGGAATTAATTAATTACTCTCCATGCTACATTTTTGGGGATACTTTCCAGCTCTGACAAAAACAAAAGTACTTGCACCTACTCCAAATTGCCTCCTTTCACATTTTTTGCTCAGCTACCCATCGTTTGGTGCATCTGAGCTTGCCAAAAGGGGATAAATTCATATAGCTACCCATGTCAATACATGACTCTGGGCAGTTCACACCATTAAAATAAAAAATATATATACAAATAGAAATTCAAAATAAACAAGAAATAAAATGCATAGCAGCTGAAGAATTATAAGCCTAAAACATAGCCAGGTAACAAACTCTGTCAGATAAGCAAATTTGTAATCCAATTGTCAAGCTACGAACCTTACTGCCTGCAAGACCGCAGCATCCAATTTGTTCTGATTTTTTTTTGAAAGATCTGTTGTAAATATTGGGGCTTACTGATTATCCACTAAGATTTATGCAAGATTTCCCATGTAGAATAGATGTATAAACCACATCATAGTGCTTTACAGAACAGTTTCTTCCTTTCAATCATGTTCCCTTGGAGTTAGCACTATATTGAAAGACATATGAATATACCAACAATAATAAAAGAAAGTTATCAACAAGAGGACTGTGCAAATGTTGCTTCATTTTGTGTGCAAAAAGGGGGGGGGGCATAAAAAAGGACAGGGTTTGATTGCTTGATTCTGCTCACATCTTGACTTATTTGGCCCCTGTCCCCAAAGACAACCCTGTGCAGAGGTGTGAAGCCAACATAATTTTTCAGTTAATTAAAAAATCACATCTCTTATAAAGATCAGGCAACTGCATCAAAAACTGCTTCCTGCTTCCTCTGTTTTGATGTGTGTGTCTGTGTAATGGTTGTAAACACATATGTGGCTGCTTTAATTATTGAAAAACAAATGCTTCATTTTAAACATAACAGCCACTAACTCTCTTGATATAAAATTCCACATTAACTAGAAGTCATGTGAAGAAAGATTTTTTTTTTGCTTTTCTGTGTTTCCATATTTCACTTTCATTTCATGAGCCCAGCTTCCATTGTTATGAAAGGAACACAAATATCTCTCCACTTTCTCCCCATCATTTTGACAGCTTTAGACCTAAGTTAAAAGCTCAAAATATAGCATTCTCATAGAGGAGTTAGTTGTATGGACTGCTTCTTTATTTTTATTTTATTTTTATTCATTTCATAATGATTTTCCCCCAGGCAGTTAATCTCCATTTGACAGGGAAATATGGCAAGATATTACCTTTGTCTGCATTAGAACCACCCCAAACTTGTCCTTCGGTCCTGCACATGAAACTTTGTCCTTTTTTTAAAAAAAGTCCTGTTGCAAATATTGGGGCTTAATCAGGCATGTTTTGAGTTGAAAGGCTGTGAAAACTTAAAAAAACAACTTTTAGTGGATGTGATTTCTCAAACCATTCCACTGACATTTGCAATGTACTTGACATTGTAATAGAATAACATTGGAGGTCTTCTGGAATCTGGTCCAATCCCCTGCTCAAGCAGAGACCCTATATCATTTTAGACAAGTGATTGTCAAAATCTTTTCTTAAAAACCTCCAGTATTGGAGCAGCCACAATTTCTGAAGGCAAACTGTTCCACTGTTAGGAAATGTCTCCTTACTTCTAAGTTGGTTCTCTCCTTGATTAATTTCCATCCATTGCTTCTTGTTCTGCCTTCAGGTGTTTTGGAGAATTGGTTGGCCCCCTCTTCTTTGTGGCATCCCCTTAGATATTGGAATACTGCTATCATGTCACCCCTAATTCTTCTTTACATTAAACTGGACACACCCCAATTCCTGCAATCACTCTTTATATGTTTTAACGCCCAGTCCCCTAATCATCTTTGTTGCTCTTCTCTGCACTCTTAGTCTTTTTTTTATATTGTGGCAACAAAAACTGGATGCAATATGGTCTTAGAGAGACATTATAAAGTGGTACTAACACTTCACGTGATCTTGATTCTATCGCTGTGTTAATGCAGCCTAGGATCGCCTTAGTTTTTTTGGCAGCTGCTTGGCTCATACTTAAATGTTTGTCCACAAGAGCTCCAAGATCCCTCTTGCAATTACTGCTGTTGAGCCAGGTTTCACCTAGTCTCTACCTGTACATTTGTTTTTTTTTGCCTAAGTGTAAAACCCTACTTTTCTCATCACTGGATTTGATTTTGTTAGATAGGGCCCAGTGTTCAAGTCTGTCAAGATCCTTCTGTATCTTCAGCCTATCTTCTGGAGTGTTAGATAGTCCCACTAGCTTTGTGTCATCTGCCAGTTTGATGAGTTTACCTATTTCCTCATCTAAATCATTTATGAAATTATTGAATAATACTGGGCTCAAGACAGAACCTCGGAGTACCCCACTGCATGCTTCACTCCATGTAGATGTAGTTCTACATGGACTACATGTTGAATGTAGTTGGTTAGCCAGTTATTAATCCATTAGGTGGTGATGCTGTCTAATTCACATTTTTCTATTTTTATGAAGTAGTATGTTGTTTTCTACTTTATCAAGTGCATAATTTAGTCCAAGTAAATTATGTCCACAGCATTTTGCTGGTTTCATTAATTTAGTCATTTTGTCAAAGAATGCAATAAGATGTGTCTGGCATGATCTATTTTTATCAACCCAGGTTGGCTTCTCGTTATAATTTTGCTTGCCTCTATGTGTTTGCAGATTCATTGCTAGATTATCTTTTCTGGGATCTTCTGAGGTATTGATGTCAGGCTGATAGGTTTGTAGTTTTCCAGCTCCTTCAGTACTTCAATTTGAACTCATCAAGAGTGGATAACTGTTCTCTTACCATTTTCTCGCTTATTTTGACTTGCATCCATAATCTGCATTTTATACTAGTTTTGATAGTTTGGACTGGTTTTTTTTTGTGTGTATAGAGAGATATAAAAAATGAGTCAAGCAGTTCATTTTCTCCCTACTGTTTGACACCTTCTTGCCACTATGGACCAATCATTTCCTTTCCTTTTTTTCTTTCTTTTCATGTTGAAAGAAGCTTTTTAAAAATTATTTTTGACATTAGTTTATGTTGAGCTAAGCTTTCCTGTCTTCATCTATGCAAGTTTGGGCTCATCATTTCTTGAATTCCATTTTTATAAAATCTATTTCAGTGGTTATGAATAGCTGCCTGATTAAAATTTTAGTTCCTTATACATCCTTGTAAGCCATTTTGAATATTGAATATAATAGCCAAGCAGATGTTCATGTGGATTAAATACATGGCAATGTAAACTTCATTATGTGTGCATGAAGTTGGCAAACTGTAGAATTGTTGGAACAAAAGGCCAGATATTAATGGTGGGGTAGGTATAATTTTGACACCATTCTCTCTCAGCCCAATTCACCTTTCAGGGCTGTTGTTGGGAAAACAGGAGGATTGGATATGTTGCCTCTTTGAGTTATTTAGAAAAAAATAATAAAGGCAGGATAAGTTTTTTTAAAAAATCTGGTAAAATCATTTTAAACAGGAAAAGGGCACTCAGGGAGAATATATGTAAGTTTAAGAGCAAAAAATAGCTTTTATTAGGAAGGCAGTGTAATTTTTAGCCAGGGAAAAGGGGATAGAAGAATCCTCCTTTATTCATTGGTCTTTCCATCTTGCCAGGTTGTTCTCTTAATTACATTACTTCGTCCCGGCAACAGATCATAGTGTGGTGATAACAGGTCCCAATCTGTTCTTCACCCTCACTGCAGTCATCATACCGGCAAATCCCACCTCTCCGAAGGCAGTGGCTCACAAATCGGACCATACGTTCACCATTTCCTGCAGAAAAAAGAAGATTTTATGAATTACTTTTTAATTATCTTCCCAATGGAGCAATATTTGAAAGCTGTTACTACACCATGGGTTTCCTGTTTCTTTTATCCCCAACATTGGACATCCAGAAGTAAATTGTCTTTGTCTATGGGAATTATATGTTGTTTTCCATGGGTTTTTTTTTTTTTGTGTGTGTGAATTTGCCTATTTCTATTTAGTAGAAAACTGTCAGAAATTTTTTTGTCAGTCACTGGCTCTTGTGATGTATTCCATCAGCTAATTTTATATATGGTGTGGAGTAACACTTTTTTGTAAGTCACTTACAACTTTAATGAGACAACTCTGGGGCTTCCAACATATAACAGTACTAATGACCTCATAAAGCAAACAATGCTCACATTGTGTGTATTGGAAGAAAAAAAACCCACAAAACACTCCCCTCCATTTCCCCCCCAGTGAAATACCAAATGCTTTGCCAGTATTTAAATCAAGAATCTGAAAAAGTTGCTGAATAAACAAGGACATGTCATGGTCTCTAGAACAGCTAAATCCTTAATTCTGTTTAGTCTCTGCACTACAGTTTTAATGGAAAACTACTGATCACTTTTATACATTTTCTGCTGAATTCTCCATCAATGCTACTAAATGAAGTTTAGTATTATCTTTACCATGAATTTATACCTTATGATCATTGTATCCCATTGTCACCAGGAATTTAAAACATTTTTAAAGCAGGTTTTCCTTGTATCTTGATGATAACTTGCTGCTTTAGGACAAGCAAAAGTGAGGTATTTTGTTAGTATCTAAGAGTTTCAAAGCTGGAAATTTGATCCTGGGTTTGGTTTCCTGCAATGATAATTGACTCCAAGAAAAGAGCTTGTAGCTTTGTGATTGCATCTTACCTGGGCTCACTAAGAGCATTGCAAAGAAAAGGGCAATTGCAAGATGACAAATCTTCATGGCTGGGTCAAACTCAGTCTTCAAGTAACTGGAGGATCAAATAAGGAAGTCAATCATTGTAATCTCTTTATATGCTCACAAATGCTATTAAAATAATATTTAATTATGATTATAAAAAATTGGAGGTTGGC